TCTTGCAATCGATATTTACCGAATCGACACTTCAGCGAACTCGCCTGCGAGCTCGCATGCAAAACCTAACTTAATTTTCAACTGTGGCACGCATAACTCCGTCAATAATGGACGGATTTTCTTCAACAAGAGAATGAAAGCAAACAGAGATCAGTAGCTGCCGAAAAATTATTTTCTACTTTTGAGTCCACATGAAAAACGTGGTCTTTAAAAAAAATTTTTATACATTTTATTACTTCTTAAATTTTATTTGATTCATTATTTTACAATGGTATTGATCATTGGTAACCCCATCTTCTTAGAAATTTCCGGAGTCGCTCGACAACGCAAAATTATATAATTGTTTCTTAATGCTCTCTGAAACTTGAATTATTTATACTGCCACTAGAATAGTTTTCTCCATTCCCTAATACTGCTTAAGTAGGAATATATTAAATTCTCACGACGGGTGACTCACAAGGCACTTGTTGATTCGCATTTGGATTTTGGACTTTGCAATACAGTAGTCAGTTAATGTGCTAACGTTCTAAGGTGGGGTCCAGTGACTCCAGTGTAGTTTATGCTAGTGTGCCGAGGCAAAGAGGGAGCGTACCTCTGCATTTGATGAAGATAATATTATATTTTCCGTGATAAAAAAATTATCGAGGTTTCAATTTTGTGATTTTAATTTTGAAATGGCCTCTTCTAAACCTAAAGTTATTATATTTGGAGGTACGTTCAAAATTTTACCTGCAAGTAGAAGATACCGGTAGTCAATTTGTTGAATCGAAATCGTAGCTACCTAGCTACCTACAGACTTATAGGCTTATAGCTACTATGATAATGAGTCGTAAAATTTTAATTTGTTTTTGATTTATATTACATCTAGTCCTAGAGTTCTAGACTAATGAGTATCTTGTATAAATGTATACCATAATACCACTATGACTACTGTAGTGAGTAGTGACTACCGTCTACCTATACTAATAATACCAGCTCCAGCATTATCACATATAGGTAGCTAGCCTACCTACCTAACTATAAGTGATAAGAAATCAATTGAAATTAGATAAGGAAATGAAAAAATGAACAGATTCTAAAAAATCTCTGCTTTATCTTTATCATTATGCCTTCAAGCTTCAACACAATTTTTCTATGGCAAGAACTTTTTGAGTGTAGCCTAAAAAATATGTAGGTACCTAGTACCTATTTTTTTAACTTTTAGAAACTTAGAACTGTGAACTGTCCAAGATTCCAACAGCTTATAAATTGGTACTAACAAGCTCTAAAATATAGGTAATAAGAATATAGCCTAGCTAAACCACAAATTTAAAATATCTTTGTAGGTATTCTTTATGTTGCCTAATGCCTATTGTAATAAAACTGTAGGTACAACTTTGAAAATTATAGCCTACCTCTGAAGTCTAATTCTGAGTTCTGACCAATATCAAATTGGTAGTTTTATTAAGAAGCAGCCAGTCCTAAATCCTAATACTAATAGGTAAATTGGCAGAAGCCACCCTGGTACCCATAAATGGGAGAAACAGAGAAGTACCTAGCTATCCTGTCTGTGTTGGACTCATGGACTGGAATTCTCTTAGGCCTACTTGGTTCTTGAATATCGCGGCCCAATGTAACAAATTTTTGATACATTCGGAATCTTGTGTTCTGATTGTGCAATTTTGTTAACAATTAGATAGGACTTAGCCTTAGGAGGTAATTCGTCTGGCAGGAATCTAGCGGTTCCGGAAATGGCGGGAAAGCTCAAGTCAGGTTCCTGAAGGTAGACGTTTTCCACAAGGATGTCTGTGGAGTGTGGACCGTGTTTTTGGACAATTTCAACTGTTAATATGTCCTTTGTCTAGTTTTTTCAGTAAAAATTGAAAACAAGATGTATTTTTGCCTATATTGCCAACAATTGCAGTCTTGAAAAATATGAATTTATTCCCTTCCAATTTTTAGGAAATAATGCCTATAATTACACTTTGATTCCAGTCAATGTTTTATATATATATATTTTATATATATATATATAAGGAGGTGCACAACATTAATCAACCAACGATTGCTGGAACCGTCTTAATTTTGAATTGGACCCCAGCTATCGATTTCCAAGCTATTGGATTTGTCTAAAATAAAATTTGAGATTGTTTGCGTAAGGACTTTCTGGCTCGAAATTTTTGTGTTGTATCCTATTTACGTGTATAATGTACTTATGTCCAACCAAATTTCACTATTCAATGCTTCTCTTAACCCATTAATGCCGAGAATTATGTAAGGAGAATTTTTCAGAATTTTTCACGCCAAATGACTCTTTATGATGTCAATAAACAACTGAAACACTCAAAACGGAAATTTATTTGAAAATCTGAAAAATACAGCTTGGGAACATATGTGCCCATTCGGCTATAAAATCATGATTTCAGAAGAAATTGAAATAAACCTATAAATATAGTCCTATGTTAGCTCAATGCATACAGACTCCTTTTTATTTCTCAAAAGCTAAGTAGTAGGGTATCTATGGCTTAGTGTGTTATTTTTCCATGCAGTCAGGATGCAAGGGGACCTTGCGCATCTTGCATATGTGAGGTGTTCTGCCCCGATACTGCTTGCATCTGCTGCGTGTATGCTCTCCTCTTGCAGTCCCATGGCCTTTTCCGTTGTACCGCACACTTTCTTCTGCACTACCAATACTGCATTTATGACCTGTTGCCTTTCTGGTTGTTCCATAGGTCTTAAATGTAGCTAAAACTAAGTTCCTGGAAAAGTCTAGTAGGCTCATGTCAGCATGTATTCGTCTGCACTGACGCCAAGCATTTATCACTTGAGCATTTATGCTCCGATGCTCTCTGATAAATGTCCGATGCATTTCATAATACTCTCATTCACTACTTGTTGTTCTTATGTTTGCTTTTCATAATCTCCAACCCTATCAATAACTTTTGTTTCGTCTCTGTGCCAAACCACCTTCTATTTTCTGAGTTTCTTCTTCCTCTGCTGACCATCAGGAGACGACGTTTGATGATATCTTTTGTCAGTAAGTACTTCGGAAAGTAAGTTTCTTCATGGTAAATGATTGGGATTGCATATAAGTTCACTGTCGGAGGCATCATTGTCACAGTCAGTACAAGCAGCTGCTTATTCAATGGGAGGCTCGATTGCAACATTGATTTCAAAATCACTATCATCATCAGATTCTTCCTGAAGTATTTGTCACACCTCGCCCAGGGTCAACCTGAAGAAAGAAACATCTAATAAGATTATGTCAATGTTTGAAAATATCACTCAAGTCACTTCTTGCAATATAACCCATAACTCATTACAATGATTTTTAGTTACTGGCAATTTATTATAAGGCATATCTGAATTTACATATAAACGGGCCAATATTATCATGAATAGTTTTCTAAACACATATATAGGAGCTACAAAATAGCAAACATCTGTTAACTTCTCATTATAATATCGTACGACACAACGGGAAAGCAATTAAAATAAGTCTACGCACATCATATAAGAGAAAGTGCCACAACTTGCGTGTAGGGCGAAATCTTTATTTTATATCCTAATGGGCACATTTGTTCCCAAAATTTACATTTTACTATATGCATTCAATATTATCAACATTGTTGATCATTTGTGATTTTTATGTAATTGGTGCATTTTCCAGCTACAAATTCCAATCATTGGATGTAGTAAAATGTTTTCAGTAATTGAGGTACATACGTTTTTCTCAGGCGTGGTGGAGCCATGTTACATACACCTCTTCCTCGGTCAAGGTCAGCCGGCTACTACGCATGAATGCCTGGTGGCAGAGAAACAAAACATGTTCCGTACGTGTTCTGAGCCTTCAGAGAACACACCTTATTAACAGAAAATAGCTAAATACAATGTCTTTACTTTTACAGCCATTTTTATTAGCTGGGCACAAATGTTCCCGTTCGGCGTTAATGGGTTAACTTGAAAATGAATGTTGCTACATTCGAAACGTCGTTAATATATTATTATTTGCTAAATCTGCCTTTTGATCTACCAACGTCATCTAAGAATTGTTCAACTCCTTGAAAATTCAAATGCACTCTCTGGTCATAAATTGTACGCATATAATCAAGAAATTTCTGCCATCTTATAATAATATATATATATGCTGTTTTAGAACAATTTGGTAATGATTAGTGACTTTAGTGTAGCTCCAAAGTGTGTGTGAAAAAGCTCTTATGTCCTGGAATAAGCATGGAAATCATCTACTTTCAAAGGCTCCCAAGCTGCATTAGAGCTTTCATGCCTTTTTTGGAGCCACAAGCCCACAAGATTACTGCTACATTGAATCTATATCTTTCATTTACTGGTATATAATGGATAAGAGATGCATGATTAAGCTGCAATATTCCAAAACTTGAAGACATGTCACTTCAGAGCCACAATTTTTAAATACCAGCTTAGTAACAATTAGGAATTTTCCATGTCTTGCCTTTGAAATTACATATGGTTTTCATATGGTCTATCAGAAATAACGTGGCTCTAGAAATGTTGGAAAAACTCTGCGGCTCTGCCTAATAGTTATGAATTGCTTAGAAAGAAGATATTTTGCTCACCTGCTTTCAAATTGACAAAGTTGATACTTGTGTGTCATTGACCCTGACAACTGTAAATGCACACAAGTAAACTAATGTTTGAGGATTTAATGAGACAGAAAAGTGTAAACTAATATTCAATAATAGCCAATAATTGTAAGTGTTTTTGCCTTTGACTTTAAAAAGTATATTTCTGCATAAGTAAAAATTTCAATGTAATTGATAAAATAAGGATTATATTAATTTCATTTAATTTTGAAAGGTTAAATGTTAACCTAATATATATGAGTTCATTGATAGATTTTAATTTAATCATCCCACAAATTCATTGAATAAAAATGTTTTATATTTGGTCAGTGTAAAACTTTTCATTCTTTTATTATGCTGCCTAATAAGGCATGGCTCATGATAGTCATGCGATTCCTAATCTAATTTATTAATTTGCAGGCTGTGGTTTCATTGGCCGTGAGATTGTCCATCTTCTGGTGACAGAAGATGCGGCAGAGAGTGTGCTGGTGGTTGATAAAGTACCTCCTCAAATGGCGTGGTTAGGACCCAAGCACCAAACTGCTTTCAAGAATGACATAGTTACTTTCAAAAGTGCCAATCTCATCAACCCAAGTAAGATCTTGTTTCTTGTATTCTTGAATCATGTATTTATACATTTTTATTTATATTCACTGTATGAGGACTATCTGTGCATGTATGTATTTTAGTAAAATCCCTTTTATTTCTCTAACAATTTGTTTCCTATCTATAACTTTTATTTTGCAACATGTTATTTGATCATAAAGTTAATTATTCTAGAAGACAGACCATCATTTTCCCATAGTACTGCCTGCCTTCAATGACAGCCTGGCTAGAAAATCCAAACCCTGCTTTGAACGACCTTAAATGGCTTCTGCCCATGCAGAACTTCTCTCATGCTCATGAATTAGGCCTTGAGTAGTTTCAGTGTCCAAATTAATTGAAGTGCCAAGTTTCATCCTGGACTTTTTTTTTAAATCTGGTCAATAATTTTGTCTGGAGTAGCATGCCAAACCCACTGTACATGAGTTACCACTCTACAATAAGAATAATACTATTTCTCATGGAAGTACCTATATAGGTAATTAAAGAACTACATTCAGGGTGGATTTTGAAATCCTTGACATTTTTGCTTCTACTAAAAAAATTATTTATTAACTAGTCATGAATCACTTTTGTTTAAACGTGGCCATTTGAGTGTTGTGAAAACTCAAATTTTATTAATTTTAGATGAAAAGAATTAATGTTAGCAAGTTTGCTACATCAACTAGACCATCACTTTTTACCTTATTTTTAATTTAGATCTCATGCCTACCATTTTGCTGCAGTTGGGTATAGCCAATGTTCATTTGTCCATTTGTTTTCAAAAAATTGTCTTGTTTTTATTATTTGTGACTTGAAAATTTTCTCTTGTGCAGCAAGTGTAGAAAATGTATTTGATCAGCATTATGATTGGGTCATCAATGCTGCTGGAGAAACAAAAATTGGACTGGTAGGTTCAATATTAAATTGACATCAAATTTGTGGATGTTATGTGCTTTATTGTAGAATATATTTTAATTTGTTAAACTGGGGGGCAAAGTTTCAGATTTTAAATATTTGGCCAGTGGTGAAACTTGATGATCCATGTCACTTGAAAAACCAAAAATCAACTGTTACTTTCAAAATAAATTTTTAGCTAGTGAGAAGATGCTTCTTATTTGCAGTGCTATCATTTTTTTGAAAGGAAAAATTTGGCTATTTGAGAATCACAACCTGTGATTATGCCCATCTATTTAACTTATATTCATTGTTACGGTACTAGTAGATATAAAAGTCAAAAACAAAAAACTTAGTTTTATTTGCTCTTCAATTTGACTGATAAATTGTGTCTCAGATCAAGATGATTTCAATTTCTAGGCTCGCTATATAATAATACTCATTAAGCTAACACAATACTCTCATATTTCAGAATGAGAGCGTCTATGCTGAAGGAATCACGAAGCTCTCAGTAAACTGTGCCGAGGCAGCTGCCAGGCACAACGTGGAAATGTTTCTTGAGATCTCTGATGGCCGCATGAACAGCAGTGAAAAAGTGGGCTTAATTTTTGCATAATTCTACTTAAAAGTTAATTTCCGGTCATGTTGAGATTTATCTCTCATAATTTTCATGAAACTAAGGTCTACGTTCTATTGATAAAACATTTGGAGCCACATGTAATTAGTTACTTGAAACTCATCAAGGTTAATTACTGAATATTTATATTTATTCTTTTATTGATGAACTGTTACATTTCTTGTTGAATCTATTTTATAGTTCAAGTAATTGATCATCCTCGTGAATTCAGGCAGTTCCAGATTGATGAACAAATTAATTAATAGCTTGGGTTGCTCCAGTTGCTTTCAGTGATTTCTTGATAAGCTATTAAATGAGTTGCGATACCAGGTTATTCAATGAAAATCTTATTTCTTTCAATATTTTTTTTATTTTTTAACAGCAATCCAGCACTTCCAAATTCACCTACAATTCTAATCATTCCATAGTTCTATTAATAATGATAAGGGACTGGAATTTAGACCTTATATAAAAGTGCCCAATCTATTGGAATGACTGTTAATTTTGCTTACCCTGTAGTATGTAATGCTGTTTATATTAATCTTTATTATAATTTTTTTATATGAGAAATTCAGTGTGTGTCTCACTACTGCACCGATGGTCTGATGAGACTAAAAAGCAATGCAGTTAGTGGGTGCTGATGTGCTGGCACTTTCACCGACAATTTTTCTCATCTCTATGCCACCTGTGCTGCAAGTGCAGCGTGTCATGCTTGGAAGATAGAACTTCATTTTTTGTTGCAGCTCTAAAAACATTTACTTGCGTGTTGACTGAATGTTACTGATGAAAAAGTATTTATAGATATTTAATATTGTGACTTCCAATTTTTCAGTTTCATCTTGCTACTCCCCTGATCTTGTTGATTAGCTCAAGTTAATTATGGATTTGTTAACAGACGGGAATGACGGAACTTGACGCCTGCAAGCCTTGGTGCACCGTGAGCTCCTGCAAACGTCAGGTTGAGGAGCGGCTCGAACTCATCGAGAATCTGCCGTACGTCATCCTCAGACCAGGCCTTGTCTATGGCCCTGGCGATAAACATGGACTCGGTGAGCATTTTGGCTTATTTAGGTTGTTTGTGGGAGAGCAATTTGGATTTTTGTGCTGTTGTTTGTAGGGTTAGCATTTTGTCTTTTCTTGTTCGTTTGTGAGATCATCTAGTACATATAAGGCGGCTCAGGTGGCGGGCGTGGGAGGGGAGTTGAAAGACGTCTTGGCCACAAGAAAAATTCAAGAGAGGGGGCCTAGGGCATAGGACGGCGAATGGCGAAGCTTCGAAAGAGAAAAAAGCGCGGCCGCACGAGAAGACAATTCGTTTGTGTTTTGGGATGTTTCGTATTGCTTTCAAGAAGGCGTTTAGTTTATGTTCGTTTCTTAATTTTATATCTTCAAACATTTTTGCTTGAATTTTTGTGTTACCTATTACTGTGGAGTCCTTCCTAAATACCGTGTTAAAGATAAAAATGGTTTGAAATGTGTTTAGATTTGATTTCTGTTATAATTGCTATTTAGATTTTCTTGCACTCCTAGCCTTAGTCTACTGACGCGATGAACTTTACTTGCTTTTTGGGAAACTATTTGAATATTAACTATTTTACTACTTGTGATCCATTTCTAACTGATATTTTTACTTGGTTCCATCGCATTGGACAACTACATCATCTTATTAAATTATTCACGTTTTCTCTTTGTGGATTTTGAGTGTTAAATTTGGTATTGATTCGTCAGTTGCCTAAAATATGGATTAGCAGTTTATGATTTATCTTAAATAGAAATTCCTCAGATTCTCACCCTTTCTCACCCTGGTGCATGAAAATATAAAAGATGTCAAAGACTAAATTTAGATTCTTCGTCTGTTTAGGATTTTGGTATTTTTGCAAGATATTCCAGATGTTTTTCAGTAGAGATCTACTAGGTAATTATTTTTGTGAACAGTGAGGAATTTAGTGATGGGCGCCGTGTACCGGCAGCTGCAGGAGAAGATGAAGCTGCTGTGGGACGGCAGCCTCTGCATCAATACCGTCCATGTCACCGATCTTGCCAGGTCATTATTATAGGAAAATTATTTATCATATAACTATGCTATTATTCTCAATATTAGTATATTATGACTTTGTTGGTGTCAACCCTTGTGTTGGTGAGATTTACTCAACCATCTTGACTCTCGAAGGAATTTGAAATGAAATTCAGTCTTAAAATCTTACTTTAAGATTGAATCTTACTGGCTTAAATTTTAATTTTGTTGGTTGTACAGCAAGTCGAAGCCTAAAGAAATCACGTATCAACACTAGTCTTGAAATTTGCCGAGCTTTTCAACTCATAATTCTGATATGAATTGTATTATTTTGTGTGCGGCAGAGCGGCGCTGTTCGTGTGCCGTCTGGGCCAAAGTAAGGAAATCTTCCACGTCGTTGACGAGGCAAGATCCACGCAAGGGTCGCTGGCTGATCTCATAGCCAATATTTTTGCCATCAAGGTCGATTACTACGGGTCTGCCGCGTCACATCTCGCCAAGGTAACGTCACACGCTTATTTTCTCCTGTCATTAGGATTATTTCAAATCGCATTGCGAGTTATTATTCTTTCGTTACGCACTCCCCTCGGGATTTTTGTTCATAGATTTTCATTTATTAGTGTAGTTAGGCAGAAGTTCTTCATTTGATGAAGAACTTCTGATAGCGGAGGCTCTCATAATTAAGGACGAGTCTCCTGCTATCAATTTGCAAACCGCGGGATTCGTCAGGACGTTGAAATTATTCTCGGATTAATTTGATTTTCGATTTTGAACCGTATCTACAATACTTTCTGTATGAACTTATGTCATGTCCAAATTTCAATTTTAGCGTTGTAATAACTGTTCACTTGCTTGATAATGAATATTGATATATTCGAAACGTCGCACTGCAATAAAATGTCATTCGGTAATCTACTTTTTGATCTCCAAGCTCCAGCTAGAAATTTTGTTCGGCTTATCGAAAAGAACAATAAGAAAATCGTAAATAAAAAGTACGCTCTGGTCTTCAACCAAACCTGCATAAATGAAGATTTTCATTTGTAACTAATTTTTTGCTATTAAATCTTTCATGATCAAGTCAAACGTTTGCAAGATTACAAGTAGTTGTTTTGAAACAATCATATTCTGGAATACCGTCTCTTGAAGCTCAATTATTCGTTTGACTTTCACATAAATTTTTACTTCTGCAGTTGGACAGCGAGGGGACCGTAGCAGACGCCAACGAGAAGCACCTGCCGCCGTGGGCGAGCCTCTGCAACGAAGGCGCCGTCAGCAACTCGCCCCTGACGCCCTACGTGGACGCCGACGTGCTCAAGGGATCGCACCTTCACCTCGACGCTACCAAGCTCAGCAAGCTGGGCTTCACCCTCACGGTGCCTCGCCCTACACGCGACCATCTCGTGCAGGTCGGTCCTTGTGTCCAGTTCATGATCTACTCTTGTAAAAGTAAGACCGGGGAACCACAACAACAACTCTTCCAAAAAGTTCACCCCCTTGCGGTGATTATTAAATTCTATTGCCGTAATGTCTTTGCTAAGTCTAGGCTTTAGAAAATTTCGTTTTGTTAACGTCTAAAAAAGTTTTCAAGTTGCTCTTCCCAAATTCGCCTGAATTGATCTTCGTATGACCTTTTCCTCCAGGCAAATCTTGTAACGACTCATGTAGCAGTTAAAAGTAATTAATTTAAATAATTTTGTCTTATAACCCCGCGTGAACGACAGACTGAGGCACAAACGACATACTTAGATTACACGCCTTTCACAATAAGAACTTTTTAGCCACGAACCTACAAAGCAAAGGAACTTCCTCTTGAAGATCTGATAATGGCAGGTTACGGGTAGCCTCCAAACGCCGAAAATAATTTTTATTTGTAAACGCCCTCCCTGGGCCCAGAAACGGCTCAAACGGGGGAGAAATCCCTCCTCAAACGTTCAGATAGCTTTCACAAAACGTAACGCATATGCGGATCTTGAGATGCAGATGACATCCCTGTTACAAGAACATGTAATAACATAGTACTGCCTATGGTACTGCCTGCCGAATTAAGAACGACCTATCTCTAGATACAGCTTTAGGAATGGGACATCGAAAAGTATTTCTACTCTAAAGCACATTATGAAGTTACCTTATATAGCTTGACCCTTGCAATAATTTTCATTTGCCTCTGACATATCCCTCCTTGCAAATCGTATTTACTGAGTGGAGAGCTAAGGGTTGGAATTCTACCTTGTACTCGGTAATACGTTTTTTTGTTGGTTAATTAACGTCCATCTTGCAGTTGTTCCAGGTTATGTTTTTCTTATATCTTATAGAGACTGCTTTAGAAATTAACACTTCATCTCGAATAACATGTGTTGGTTATTGCACCGGCACAGTTCTTCGTGCCTGTAAACTATTTACTAGGTACATTTATTGATTGTATTCTTTGCCAGCTTTCTTGCGCTACTAGTTACAGGCGACCATTTTTACATTTCTATACCAAGTGCTCGTCCCTGCACAGATCCTCGAAGAGCTCGTCGAGCTGAAGATGTTCCCTCGAACGGCGCTACCCAAGGGTGTTCTCTCTGCTTAGCTCCCTCGAACGGCGCTACCCAAGGGTGTTCTCTCTGCTTAGCTCCCTCGAACGGCGCTACCCAAGGGTGTTCCTTCTGCTTAGCTCCCTCGAACGGCGCTCCTCAAGAACGTTCCCTCGGCTTAACTCCCTCGAACCCTCAAGGGCGTTCCCTCTGCTTCGTTCCCTAGCTCGTCCGTCTTGTCGCTTATTAACGCTCTCCAATGTTTGCCAATTAGCAGGATTATTACCAGCACAAACTAATCATTCCAATGATATAATCAAACCAATTTAGATAAGAATCTAAATTAAATGACTCTAGACCTGGAATTGTACTACATGATGTTGAAGCTATTCATTGGCAGTTCCAGGTTATTTCCAACGTTTAGTTTCAGGTTATTTTTTCATTCCAATAAAATTAGGTAATGATTCAGTTTGGAATTGAACGCTAATGATGTTTGACTTGGAATCGTATTAAATGTTTAAAGTATAAATTGTTGAAAGAATTCGTTGGAATTTTAGGAATTCCATGGCAATATTCATGGAGCGTATTAGAAGCGACTTGAATTTTGTTTGAAATGAATGCTATTTTTTCTATTGCTTTGAGTGAGATTTTTACTGTGTTCAAGAGTTATCGGTATTAAGCATACTTATCGTAGCATCATGTCTTGTAGGTTAAAAATAATTGAACCAATCTGGAGATGTGATAACCTGTATTCTTCCATCAAATGATTGCACAAATAATAATTAGTTGTCTTACCAACTGATGGCACAAAACATTTAATGTGATATGTACTTGATTGTTCTTACTAACGATGAGGGAATGAAGAGGATGCGATACTTGGTTTTCTAAAGAAATAGTGATACTTGATGAAAAAAATGTGATGTGAACACGAGGTGATACTTGTATGTTCTTTTTGAGGGTGACACGAAAATTCTGTTAATTGGGTTGTTTTTCCGCTCCATTAACTCGGAATGGAACAGAATAGTTGATCATTGATGACTAGTATAATAAATTACATTTAATTTGATTATTAAATATAAAATATGTGTATAATGATCAAACCGTACGAGTGCAAGAGATTCGTCGTAGCTGTTCCTGATCGTGACAAGAGTGCCAAGTAATTTATTGTTGAAAGCTAATATTCCTTGTTAATCTTTAAATTTTCTTTATGCCTACTTTTTCAATAGCTTTGCAAGTGATTCACAATTAGCATGTGATACTTGATTGCTGTCAAACCATTTGACGGTAGCAAACAAGATGTGCGATGGCGTGACGATGTTTGGTCAATGTAACTAAAATAGGATTTCCAACGAGTGTTCAAACTAACGAAAATGAAAAAGCAATGTGGTTATAGATTTTTTTGGTCCCGTTATAATAAATAATTTATTAATCTTACGGGAACGATGCAGGAGATTTCTCATCATATTTTCAAATCTAAATTCAACGTTAGATCAATATCGTTCTCGGTCCTTGTTATGATCAGTGCATACACTAGCGATGAGTGCATAGCGATGCCTGTGTTGCTGGCAAATATAGAATTATGACGGAATATTTTATCCTTTCATTATTGCTTGCTTAGACTACTGTTTTCTATACTGTTTGTGTTCGCATCGTGTATGGCCTGCTATACTTCTTAGTTTATTTTTTCTATTGCGTGTATTTGGGAAATGTTCTACGTGCTATTATTAAGAAGCGTTTCTGCTCGATTGCTCACCAACTAACATTCCTGCGTTGGCAGTGAAGCGTTATAGACGTGCCTTGTTTGTCAACAGCTGCCTTCCTCGACTGCCATGAGTGATGCCACGTAGATTAAGATATGCACTTAAGTTTGCCCTGGCCTCGTAAAAAGTATTATTACTCGCCCAGAAATATCTATAACTGTGTAACGCCGACTTACGTTTAATGAACACAATATTATGCGCGCAAATAATATTAGTGTATCAATAATATTTAATGCGTAGACATTCGAGGCAAATCTTTACAATACAATATTTCTTACAGATCTTTACAAATCTTTACAATTTTACAATATTTCATACATTCAAGTCCTCAAAAGCAGACTCATGTTTGAACGAATTTGTTATGGTCGTGTTTCTCCAATCCATTTCTGTCCCTCTTACTTCGATTGCTTTGAATTATTCTGCTTAGCTCCTCTGTGTTCTTTGTCTCTGGGTAGTTCGTGCATTGTTAGTCCATTTATTATTAACCTCAACGAATACAAAATAGATTTACAGCCTCACCGAGATGCGGTCTACGCGGTCTTTAGACAGCAACTGCAATGTGCTGGGTAACTTTCAGTCACTGCAATGGACAAGTCTAGTGACCTATGAAAGCTACATTAAATGCATCTGAAATGGTGGCGAAACATGTGCTTCACTCGGAATTTTTTGGCCTGTTGTTTCAGAACAAAATTACGAGTATGATTAAAATGCGAGGAATTACACAGTTTTAGGGAATACGGATTGTGTTATTAGACTTTTCATGGACATATGAATCGAAACAACACCATCGAAAATCTCATGGACTTTTCTTCACATATTATTTTATTTTGCATCCATCTCGTATCCAGCTGAATGCTTGTTTGTCTGTTACAGCGATCATACAATATTTTATACAACGTTGGTTTCAAGTCGATTATCGAGCAAAAGGGTTTTCCCATTAATGTATGGCATTCTTGAATAAAAATTGTAAAAATTCATTCATTTTAATCTGATGGCCGAGTGAATGTTCAGCAGCTCATTCACTTGATGAACGCGTGCTCTATCTGAATTGAACGACAACGAGATCACAAAGTATGTACCAGCAAGCATTGCTTCTGTTCTCTGATTGCGCTAAATGGCCATGAACATTTGCAATGCTCAACTTTATTAGAGTGATGCCGGTTGTTCATAAATTTTATGGCTTTATCGTGAATAATTTTTTCATTCCTGATTTTGTCACCGTTTCCTTCACTTCGCTTTATCAAAATAGTTGGCATTAGATTCCTTAGTGAATATTTTACAAAATAAAAATGCCAGATAATCTCTAGAACAAGACTAGATTTTTCTTAAGTCCCATAACAAGAGATAAGTCACAGATTGGTGTTGAAGAAAATGGCTTCAATAAACCACCAAGATCTGTACATTGTTATTTTAAACAAATGGTCAATCATAGTTAACTGTTAATCATGACATGTGTTGCAACTCTGGCCTGGTTGTGAAACAATTGCTGTGACGTCACGGTATCGAGCTTCACAGCTGCCGCTTATATTTCTGGATGATTACGATGAAAGACATAGCGTTAATGTGTTTTCTGTGTGGTAGTTGCCTAAGTTTAATTCAAGTCTCGAGCATTTATCCAGGGTTGTGATATGTGGAATTTCTAGTTCTAATTTACTTTAAAATCGCTTTGCTGATATAGTATTTTAAATCTCACTGTTAGTTATGAATCGTGGAATCTTTCCTAACTTCCGCCTGCGTTCGCTCTTTGTAGCTTTATTTGTCCGTTCCGTATTCATGGATATTCAACAATCCTGAAAACTAATTTCATCGCCCTTCAATGTTACTTCAACTACCGGTCCTGCTGCATGTGTAAATACTTTAATACTTTCATTCTCCAATCTGAGTCAAACATTTTTTCGGACATGGAAGGATTAAGCGCTTGTAAACTGGCACCGCTACAATCATCGTCCACATGTTGGTCACCAATATATCGTGTTCAGCTCCAAACCATGTCAACTCTTCGCTTACATATGAACCCTCTTAAATTTACTGGCATATCGCGCAGCGTAGTCTGATGCACGCTATGTTTGCTGGTAATTTCTCCGTTGTAAATCTTAGTGAACAATAAATCGTATTGTGTTCACTGTCGCGTCGCTCTCATGGTTGATAATACATTTGCAATTGAATTTTATGTCACTCGTTATTTGGATCCCTTGTTTCTTAATGATCGCCACGATCATAGACGCTGCAAAAATTTGTACCTTCAATATATTAAAGTAAACATAAAAATTATATGTGCTTCCTATATTAATAATAACTTGAGAAAGTAATTCATGCTGATACTTAGCATGTGTTGATTCAATCGTGCCTACAATTATGATTAGCTTCTACTTTTTAAACTATTATACCATTTATAATTTAGCGAACCTCTTGTAATGTTTGCGCTTATGAAAATAAACTTATGAAATATTCAGATTTTTATGTTACCTGGTATAGCGAAGAGTGTGAAACTGCATTTATTGAGGGACCTGAAACCGAAGAGATAAGGTTTTTTGTTGTATTGTTATCTCTTCACAAATACTTGATTGTTATCCTGTAGCGTAGGTACCTTTTTTCGTTCTCGGTTATGATAAAAAGCTACAGAAAGGCCTTCAACAATAATCAGTCAAAATTATGGTCCTAAGAAAGTTCTGATATTTGCGACCGTGCTTGCTTACTTCTAATATGATAAGTGATCCTAGTGAAAGGAAAGTAAAGAATCGATTATCTTGCTTTGCGATTGCTCAATATTAACTGTAACTTATAAATCTGTCAATATTCGTTTGAAATTTTGTTGTGTTTTCGCCTGTGTTTTGACAATCGATCAAAGTTACGGTTTGTTATTTGCAATGCGGAAACTCTTCAAATCCTAAACTATGACCATGGATCCTTTACAGATATTTTGTAGGTTTGTCATTGATGTGTATAGTTTACTAGCACGTCATTTACTTGCATACTTTCTCTCGTTCGCTTGCTTGTGAATATCGCCCAGAGTTCAATGGGAAGTTTCACGGTCAGTTCCCGCGCAACAAAGTAGCGGCGTCACGCTGCGCGATGGGGCTTTGTTTACCTCGCTTCTGCTGGGACAAAATCCACGTGCTGCCTTCCTCTTCCCCCCACGTGCTGCCTTCCCCTTCTTCCCACGTGCTGCCTTCCTCTTCCCTCCCACGTGCTGCCTTCCCCTTCACCCCCACGTGCTGCCTTCCTCTGTCCCCCCACGTGCTGCCTTCCTCTTCCCCCCACGTGCTGCCTTCTCTGTCCCCCCACGTGCTGCCTTCCTCTTTCCACTGGCAACGAATAGATATATATTTGCTACGAGTTCGTGCTGCCAGGTTCAGCAGTGACTCATCTTCTAACTTATGAACCTGAGAATTAGATTGGCTGCAAACAGTCCCCACAACACATTTAACGTAATCATACCAACGTAACACTGCGATGACTCGATTGCAAAATATTATTAATAATATTATTATTTGCTTGGATTTCACTTTGGTACAAGCTTTTACGTCCAGAAACTAGGCATAATAACTCATCGACCTCTCATTAACTTAAAGACCTAAATGTAACTTATCTGTGATGTTCATAAAACATGAATACAAGTTGATTCACACGACTCCAACGCTGGATTCAAGGCTTTTTTTTTTTGGGAACACGATTCGCTATTTTCTGACGAAAATTCTACGCCCTTACTACTGTGCATCACAAAGCATTGGCCTTCAAACCAGGAATGGTATTTTCTCCTCGCACTCTCGTCCTGGGCGGGTCCATCTTAGTAGATTATTTCCGCTTAGGAATTCTTAACTCCGCTGCCACGCTCTGACGTCACCAAGGATACGGATCAAATAGCCGCCTATGAGATCGGCCATACTATCATTTAATGTCATTTAATACGGACCAACTAGCATTTATTGTTTCAATGTTCAGTGTTTTATTAATAAGCAGGACGTGTAATAAGCATTCTAATTTTGTTGGTCTGAAGTCTCTCCTATATCTAAAAATTCATCTCTGAGTGAGATGAGTGGATAAATTGTCAGTGCATTCAATCAAGCGCTCATTAAATTGCTTAGAGATGAAAATTATGCCTATTAACTTTTTTAGAACTGATCATTTGGTTTGATACTTAGTGTACACTTTACCTAGTAAATAAATTACAAAGACAAAACCAAATATTATTCCGTTCATGCGCATTATATTGCAAGTAGTAAGTATATATTTTAGGTATAGTAAGTATTTATTTTATTTCAAAATTAATGTAAAAATACGCTGTTTTAAATCCTATTTAAAAACTCGGTAAGTGGACCAAGGTAGCCCGCAGTAGCGCCTGCAGAAGACAGCCATGCAGAGACAGCGCCTCCCTCGCCTGTACATAAGCAGAGCGCCCGGCGCTGTGGCGACATTGTTGACCGGACTGCTGACCTAATCTACACTCTTGTCTTAACTGCTTGCCTGCCATACGAACTTCGCTGTTTTTATGTTGCATCTTCTTAGGCACTGTTGCTTTTTATGTTGCTTCTTCTTAGGCACTCAGGCCTATTGTGAAATTAAATACAATTTTGTCATAAGGAGTTAGTTCATATAATTCAATCTCTTAATAGTCAAATACTCAATTCGTGTAAGTGCCTATCCAAAGCAAAAGACTTAAGTAACATTTAGTGGTCATGGAATGAAAGTGTTTCTTTACATGCGTTTCCTTTTGCTTCACCGTACATGGTTGTACATCACCGTACATGGTTGTCTGGAGGTCAGGTACATCACCGTACCTGATTGTCTGGAAAGAAAATTAAATGTTATTTTATCACTTTTTGGATACCTATCTAAATAACTGAGTTCGATCACGCATTTTCTACCAGCACAGGGACCTTATTGACGACCTATGGTAATGAGTTGTTTGAAGTTTAGTTAATATCGTCGAAACTGACTAGCAACAATCCACAGATGATGTGAGCTTGATAGTGATGTTTAAAAGTCATAAAATACAAATCAATAAATAATATTTATTACTAATATTGCTACTGAAATAATGAATGATGATTGAATCCTGAACTAGACAGACGGCAAAAATTTGGGCAAAATCTTATTATCGACTCAATCGTATTTTCACTGAATGCATTCAGTCTAAATTTGTTAAATATTTTTATATATTTTCGAAGTCGACTGTACCGAAATTTATTGATTCATCATGTATTGGCAACGAAATTCTGCTCTGCTGGTGAGTTGAGAACTACTTTCATCGCGATTCCTTTTAACGCTTGTTGCTCTTATGATTGCTAATTTTTTTGTACTTCATGAAACACTCCTGCATTTACCAGCATAGATTTTACTTGGCCTACTTGTAAACAAAATATGGGTCCGTCCAAAAATGAAGCCTAGCTAGAACGTGTTTTTTAATAATCGGTGATTTATTTCTTTTTAATTTTCAAATTCAATCGGAGAGAAAGATAAATTGATTTGTAAATCTACTCCTATGCTGATGTTCTAATTGCTTGTAGTTATTGCATAATTTAGTCAAGTTAATTAAATGAACAATTATTTGACAGTCATTAAGTTGATCATGAATGTTAAAGCACTACATTTTCGCTAAAAAATTTTATAAATTAAAGTGCAACAAATGTTCATGCAGCAATAAATTCTCATCTGCATTATGAAGGAAGTGAGCCAAAATTATTATAGACTTGTTCCTTAAACATCAGCCTTATTACGTCTATTTTGAACATAATTTTTATGGTCCAATTTTTTACTTTCGTCGCCAGGCATTTTATGTCCTGTTTTGGATTGACGTTGGAACTGCGACACCACCTTCTAACATCGGCAACATCTGGCCCTTAAATCGGCACCCTAGATTTTCATTATCAAACTTCCAGCCTCTCTCGCGCAACCTAATAAAAGACGACCGACTACGGCGATCTCCGGACAATTTTACTGTGAATTTTAGTGATGTTGGGCGCTTCAAGTCCAGCCCTCCCCAAGAGCTCGCCACCAAAGTCGAACTGGATCCGAGGCTGGACTTTCGTCCGTTGATCGTCGACGACGATGACTTGGATGACAGCAGCGAAAGGAAAGCTATTTTCATTAGACGTATTGACGACTTCAAAGACAGAACACATCAACGTCGGAAGCATCGACCTCTCTTAAGCAGGCCACTAATCAGATTGTTCGATACCAGGAATTTTCTAATTGGGAGCAGAAAAACAAATGATTCTTCAACTTTTCCATCATTAACCGACACTTTACAAAATTCAGTGGTTAAACCTAAATCTAAACTTCAGACTGTATTGCATGGAAAGGAAATCATCCATCAAATTAATAAACCTAGCATTAATCAGCCTAAACAGCAGATGTCTCTACTAAAAATTGCAAGTATTGAGCAAGATGATATTATTTTTGACAAAGAACGCAACCGATTTCGATTGGACTCTGTAGAAAACATTACTCCCCTAATTTTGGAAGCGCCCCCTGATACCGTTTATGGACTTAGAATCCCAAAAGAAAACTCTTCTGTTCACCATGCCGCCAGCACCAGAGTGAAGATCCCTATGAAAATTCCCGCGCCTGAACGCTCGGTGAACTCTCAGCTGTTCACTATAGAGACCAACGAAGTTGATGACCTCGGTCATGTGCTACACCAGAGTGACGAAGAAGATATGTCAAACGAATTAATTTCATTTTTTCAAAACTTGAGACCAACAACCGCTAAACCTCCTGTCAAAATCGTTGTCTCCTCTGAGACCAACGCCACTCACATGTCCATCAATATCCCCAGAAAAATTGTGCAAAGACATCCAGCAATCGTGAGCAATTTTGTTCGAAGCTTCATTAATCAAAAGCCCCAGCCTGTCGATGAATACGATTTTTATTCACGAAACTATAATATTGGGGCTAATAAGGCAGAGCTTCCTTATGAACGTTCAGGAACTTCCCATGGTCAAGATCGTCGCCCATTTAAAACTAATAGCTTTCAAAACTACTTCAAGAGCCGAACTGAAAAATTAAGTTCAGTGCTAGGGCACTCGACGCTTAAGTCCCATTTTGGAGTTTATGATGATGTCCCGAGCGTAGTTCCTATCATGAACGCAGCAAAGGAAATGGATAAAGACAGCAATATTAACCAGGTTAGTAATTGAGACTTTTTATTCACGTATCTTGAACTTTATAATTAAACTTTATTCTTAAAACATGGGGGCTAATGATGTCTATTGACGTGTTCATTTCTACGTGTAAAATAAATTTTATCATCAATCAAATACGTGGAAAATATCATCAAAGCGAGGAAAAAAATAAATCATAAAAAATGCATTATTAATGATAGAATAATAAATTTAAATAGATTAATAATTTTTTCTCTGAACATACTTCAATAATTCATCTTGTTTGCACAGGCTAAAAATAATAAGGAGCGTTATCGCCCAGCCAAGTACGAATTTTCGTACGAAATTTCCGAGGACGACGTACAAATGGGCCACCAAGAGGCGAGGTCCGGCCACAGAGTCGACGGAGAATACCACGTATTGCTGCCCAACGGCCTCAGACAGGTAAAATACATAGAACAAGTTATCTGTTATAAAGTTAACTCCGACATATGAAACAATTTTTCTAGTTATTTGCATTCCTGCATTATCAAAAACTGAGACGTGCATTTTTTATGATTCATTGAAAATGCTCGTTGGAAATTAAATTTTTTTATGCACAGATATCGTGAAATTTTGGTACATCGTTTTTTAATTAACCTATTCTTAACAGACGTACAATTGTAATCTTCAAAAATTACAGATCGTGACTTACTACGCTGATGAAACTGGTTATCATCCTACTATACGGTACGATCCTCCAATAAAATTATCTCCAAGAAAAGTCCTGAGCATACCTCAAACTGACGACCTGTCACGAGGCGCGCTCGCAATAACTGCATCCTCTTCAGCATCGCCTACTGCAACAAATATGGCGGCCGAAGCAGTACCCCTGGCTTCGCAGAACTTTAACACTGGAAATTCCCTCCACTCAATTTCTTTTCCCGACGAAGAGGTAATTAGGAAAAGTGAATTCCACAGAAGATTGGCAAGAGAAAATTTTGTTCCGTCTCCTTCGTTCAGTGAAGTTGAATCATCACCACCTCCTAAAATCAATTTTTTAGTCCAAAAAAATAACGAACGCAGCCTCATGAATGAAAATCTAAACGGCCAACCACCTCATTCAAAGTTAAATACTGACTACAATAAAATAGCAGACATTTTGCAGCATCTTCCTTCTTCTGGCCATTACTCTAAGTCTCTCGAAAATAAATATGCGGCTGAAAATCAACCGTCAACTCGACATGCCCCAATGATTCAAGAAATCAGCGTAAAAATTGGAAATAATTCACGTATTCCATTCTGGGATGGTGTTCGGCCAAGTGAGTTAACAGATTTTTTCATCGAATCTTCAAAGATGGTTGGCCAACATCCAGCGTTGAAAATACCACCTACCGCTAGAGAACAAAAGTACCCTTATTCTGGAGCGCAGAATGTTTCTGAATCGGATAGTAAAGTTGCTTCCAAATTCATTCCATCCCGCCAGCTGCGTGCTTCATACTTTCCAAAACTCTGAAAAACGTGACGTGAAAAAACAAGTGGGTGTCGTTCACAACGTTCAAGATGGTACGAAAAATTGTTAGACTAATTCGAATCTCAGAGCAGATATGGTCATTTTTTATTCAATAACAGGTCAAGAGGGAAATAATAACTCCTATTCTAAGTACGGCATTGGTGTGTCCCATAAAGCCCCTAAAAACTCTAACAGTAGATGTGACATCAAACTCAAAGGACCTTTACTGCCTGAATCATGGAACGGTGCGGTTACTTTGAGCAATCCGCATCCAGGACTAGACAATTTGAATGCAAACATTATCTAGTTGGATCCGTTACCATTAAACTTATCGTTGACTTTTAAATCAAGCATTGAACTTTGAATTCAAACAACTAGCGATGTTTGACTTGATACGAAGCTATATTCCGGTTCTACACCACCTTCAAAATAACCATACAAGCCATTATCTATTTTTGAGCAAAGGCAATTAAGAGAAAATAAAACCAATTAATCGGAAAAACCACTTCTATGTCTATAGGTGCCATGGAACCTTCAACGATGAAAACTTTCGTATCTTAATTTGCTGCGAAAATGACATCAATTCGTAAATTCATACAATTATTCCTTAGGATTTCTAAACAACTGCTAATTTATTCAATCGTTTCTTTAAATTATTTAATATTGAATAGATTGTTAGCATTATTTTGTGTACATTCTTTATAAAATGAATCTATACAAGTGATTTTCCTCATTTATGATTATCTTAATCATAAGGCCTGGATAGATAATATATTTTCCTTTCGCATGAATCAATGTGCATTATTTCCTTAAACTATTGGTGTGGTAACTGAACGAAATGCTTCAAAGAATTTCTTCATAATGCTTGGGTCTAATGCATTGAGTGCATAATCACCAATTTATAAAAAATGCTCTTATCCTGGCGGCAAAATACGAGTAATCAATAACAACGGCAAATATTATCGTAATTAGCATCATGCTCAACAATAGGCTAGATAGCCTGTACACAAATAGAGAGGTGATTATATAATTTCGTACTACCTTCAAGCGATAGAAATTTACGTAAAATTTTATTTCATTTTAAGGGGACCGGCTAACCTCCGGAAAAACTTCTACAGTTATTATCGGATCATCATGAAACTTCACATACATACGTAAAATGTAAAAACAATAACATTTTGCTCCTACGAGTTTTTCGAAAAAATTGATCGAAAACGTGAAATTCATAGAAAACGGCTAAAGAGGGGTACTTTAGAAAATCTATCTCCTCCTACAAATATCATCCTACAACATCGAGACACGTTTCATTCGATTTGTAAAGACCATACCTATCGACTTGTTGATCATTTTTCTCATTTTCCCCATAGTTTTTTTATGCGCGTTTTTTCCATTTTTCTCATTTTCCCCCCCCCCCCCCCCCTTCTCCCCCATATATAAGACGAACCATACACAAATTCAAAAAATGATCAACAAGTCGATAGGTATGGTCTTTACGAATCGAATGGTATATGTCTCATTGCTGTAGCTTGAAAACTGTAGGAGGAGATAGGTATGCCGTGAGAGCAATAGGAGGTTTTCACCACGCCCAAAAAACTGCCGCGCGGCACGTAAAGGGACGTAAAAGAGTCGTAACGTAGCCTAGATACCGTAATTAAGCCTCAAACCAAGTCAGCGAGGCATAGAGCGGCTGGCTGCATACCTCTCACCTCGCTGTCATGATGGGCACTGACTGCTTTGGCGGCAGCAGGCTGTATTTATAGTCCTGCTCTCGAATTACGCCCATAGGAATTAGTGAAGCCACCCCCCCCCCATTCACGGCGCGTCGTGTACGTCAAAATGCAGGTAGAAAGATGGTTCTGGTACCGTTCGACGCGTCAGAAAGTAAGCTTTAAAATGAGTATAAGCACCGGATGATGTCATAATTGGCCGCTTTACGTCAGACGTTCCTTTTTAGTGTGTCCAGCCTTCGAATTAATCCCATAGACTTTACTGAAGGTCCCTCAAAACCGCCCCCCTTCAGGGAGCTGTCACGAAATCATTTTTCGGCGTAGAGAGATGATTCTGGTACCGTTCGATGCGTCAGAAAGTAAGCTTTAAGATGAGCACAAAAACCGGAAAACGCCAAAATTGAAAATTTAGGGGTAGCCGGTCCCCTTAAATGTTGTAACTGAGACCCTTGCTCGACCACTTTGATATTAAATCTGGCTATTGATGACGTTAATATGTTTCCAGGCAACGAGATTGGACGAGTGTATCTAACCTTTAACACCTTAGCCTCTAAAGTCGTGTTCTCTTTAATTTTTTGGTGCCAAGGCAATGTGAATTCTAGTGATTATTATCGAATGTGGTGTTATCGACGAGCATGCAAATTGGCAGCATTCAATGCAACTTGTGAACACTTAAAAATATCCAAACGCATCCCTAGAAAATTAAATTTCAAAGATGATTCAAGTCCATGCAGTAATTAGGTAAATTTAAAGTTCGTTTTCAGCGGGCGAAATCTTTTCCATAAACTCTGGAAAGAGTGAGCGAAGTAGATCATCAGATATTCCTTGGAGTTGGTCCTTATCTTTAGTGTGCATGCGATGTGGTGGAGCCTGAGTTGCGAGCTCAGAATTTTGATCTCCTGCAGGTGATTCGGTAGAGGTGACTGATGGTTCCTTGACGGAGCTGAGCGCTGCAAGTTTTGAGCTCTCAAATTTATGATTGAGTAAATAATTTTCGATTGAAATCGGTCGGATTTTATTTCGTAATTCTTTCTTTACACTTTTGGCCACATTGTGAAAACTTTTCTCCTGTAAATTTCTGTCTGTTTTCTCCTGTTCATGCCAGTTTGTAAATGCCTCGCCCTTCGTATCAATTTGGAAGTCGTGAAAATTTTGATCTGCGTATTCATTGATGACTTCAAACGATTCGCTGGAATCTCGATTTTCAAGCCATGGCAACTTTGGATTCAAATCCGTGTTAAAATTCGAATCTCCATCATTCATATGATCTTGAGAATTGTGGTCTGATCTAAGAGAAACAGGCCTGCGCAAGTTCAATAAACGTGTATCTAGAGCACTGGAACTGCTCCTAGTGTTGTCGAAGTACCTGCGTCTCAGGTTGGATCGGAAAGTGGTGATACGGATCGGAATTTCTGTTGGGAAAACGTTGTGATGTTCATTCTCCTTGGAATAGTTCGCAGAATATCCCTGTTTATGCAGGTTACTCTTCAATTGAATATTTTTAGCGTTTCTTTGTAATAAATTCTTGTTTTTTCCATTATCATGGCCGTCAACGGCGAAGGGACGAAGGACTTCGGATGACGTGTCGTGCGGTTTCGCAGGTTTCCTGTCATACACATCGTTAATTTTTCCAGGTGGATCGAAAATCGAGACTGGCTTAAGAATTATTATAGGATTATTTTGTTTGAGTTTCTGTCTCTGGTTTAAATAACTTTTCGGGTGAACAGGAGAAGCTGGATTCAGATTTTTATCAGACAACACCGTGGTCTCTTTATGAGGGATTTTTCGAGAGTAGATTTCATTTGAAATTACATCATCAACTGGCGATGGTTTGAAAAATTCCTCGTCTGGGATAGGACCTCTACCACTTCGTCTTGATATTATTGTATCAGGCGGCATTACTACCCTCGCTTCCACGGCGCCTAACCTTCCGCCTGAAACGCGGGCTTCTTTTTCGTCCGAAGCCAAAATGGATTGAGCGTAGACGGCGTGCACCGGCACAGGGAATGGGATGTGATGTTTCTTTTTAATGCTAGAGTGGAAATAAGATGGCTCTTCGTTCAGCCTGTGACGTAGCAAGTCGTCCACCACCTGCTGAGCGATTGCATCCAATACTTCCTTTTCTGCAGCGTACGATCTGTAGAAAGAAAATAGACTCGTTCGAAAATTTATTTAAAGTTTAAATTCGTTACTTGATAATTTTGTGCTGTTGGTTTTATTTTCGCTATTCCATTTTTTACTCTTCGTTCTTGATTGAGAGTTCTGTCAATAATGTTTAAATGTGAAATTTCAAATGCTCAATTTGTCAAAATTTACTAAGATATCGAGCAGAAAATTTTATTGCCAAGATACACGAATTCACGGGAAATTCACTAATTCTTGCAAATAAATTGTACATTTTACTCACTGCCTACGATTGGAGCGTGGGATGCCAAGGTACTGAAGTATTCCCACCCAAAGCACAAGACCGATCACCATCGACACCATCACTGATCCCAGAATTGTCCACGAGGATCTAAATTACGCAATCAAAATATCAATTAATCGAAAATCTAATTATACGTAACATCCAAGTTAAAACTCCATGCATTCAGATAATAGATTCTGCAAACGAACTTTGATTTCTCTGCTATAATATCGATGTGTTCGTCAACTATGTAGAGAGAAGGCAAAAAATCAATTCGAATTTGTTCATGTGTAATTATTGATTATCTTACGTTATAAGCTGAGCCAATAACAGCAAACAGGTGAACGTATGCAAATCTTCAAGATCAAACAGATTCCAACTTCTAACTTTCCTACCTCTACAAGAAACATAAATTTCCTTACCTGGAAACAGTGGTTGTTCCAAATCTAGCCAGAGGATGCGGCGTATCGGGAACAGAATGAGTTAAATTCACTGACTTCTTTTTTTCAAGTCCAAATTCTGTGATCGAAATCATGTCATCGATCTCAGGATAAACTCGAATTGAATCTTCCTTCAGGTCTTCCAATGTCGCTCGAATGAACGAGCCACCGTGATCTGAACTTTCGAAAGGAACAAACTTGACGTGCGAGAAGTTTGAATTTGAATGCAGCATTGACAGAAGGTCGATAGTGTTGTTTACAAGGCTGGTGCCAGTCATCGTTGATGAAAGCGATGTGGGAAAATAGGGCAATGTTTCCATAGTTTACGAATAAAAAATTACGTACGAATAGAAAGAGAATTAAAATTATTGCTGAACACCAGGAAAGGGGCTGATAACGACAGAAGTTATTTTTTCGCGTAAAATTTTTATCTATGAGCTATTCGCAGAACGTCGAGTTTATTCGATAAGAAATAAGGGGTGAATATGCTCTAATAAATCTTGATTAATGAGTGGATCTTGCCACGAAATTATAAAGTTTGTTTTATTTCTTTAATAACGCAGTACTTGAGCCTTGTTAACTCTGCTAGCACTAGATTGCAACTAACGAAGTTCTCGTCGAATTTTGCGACGGGTTCCTAATAGCACCTAACTGCTGTTGTCCCCGCTGCAGCTCGAAAATGATTCTTGGTACCGTACAGCCGTCCGTACCGTGACAGCTTGGCCTCCTCCGTTACTCGGAGCAGCACAATCAGTAACTGTTTTGTGGCTACACGAAGGGACCAGTGAAAAATAGATTTTTACGAATTTTTAAAACATAACCCTACTACTTCGACTACTTCTAGATGTCTGTTGCTGAGACGGAGTAGATATTCTCCAATTTTTATGTATTCGTAAGGTCTAGCGATGACCGAGTAGAGTATGATGAGATTGAAACAAATTATAAATGATTGTTTTAAAGTAATAAAGGTACAGAGCGAAGTAAATCATTCTAAATGTGATTTAGTACAATCTTGGAAAATATGACAGCCAATTAATCCATCCCGGCGATAATGTCAACCAAATCGAGATCCGACACTTCCTTGACTTCAACCTCGTTCATTTCAGAAGCAAGTCGTGCAGCGAGGACATGTTTGCACATGATGGCTTCTCTTTTGAGTACAACCGTGTACTTGTAAGCCGGACATTGACAGTAGGCTGAGCCTGGCAAGCAAATGTACGGGACTCCAGAACTGCCGCTAACTCTAAAGACCCATCGACCGCTTGGCGACGTCACTCTGGTAACCTGAGCAAAAATTTTTAACATGTTCATAATATAAGGAGACATATGAACCACTTGTTTTAATAATATGCTTCCATTCGTATGGAAAAATCACATGACCTATGGAATTTTCACTCAAAACTATCATAGTACAGTGAAGGAAACTATTTCATTTATCCTTAATTCTTAAAAACGCATTATTCTAACTCTTTATTACTTCTCTACTTAAAAATATGAGAATAATCCTGTTTTCAGTTTATTTCTAATGTCTCCTAACCACTGACCTTCTTCTCGTCTATAAGTTGCAGCGCCGGCATCAGTGACTTGCCGAAGACGGCATTGAGGCAACACAGCACGTCATGCGACAGCTCACCAGAGCTCAGGTATTGACTGCCGGCTTCTCTAATCAACTCGGTGCCTGCTTGCATCCACTGCATGACGATTGTTATAAATTCTGCAAAACTTGTTTCATCAGTCAATCAATTGAAATTAACCCTTTTTCAACGATCTAGTCCATATTTATCCAGCTCTCCTACCACTTATGTGTTCCGTACTATCCATAAAAGTTCCACATTTTGTAACGAGAGACGAATAGAAGTTTTCCATGGTTGGAAGTTTTCGTTCCGTGTGAAATTTAAAACGTAAAGATAAATTGAATTTTATTTAATTAACGAACATTTATCTTAATTTTATTAAGTTGAATCAGGATGCGATGTTAAAAAAAAATCAGAAATTATTGATTTTGCGAAGCGCATGGATAAGCGGGCGGAATCGGAGGCTTATCCTCTATCCAGAGTATCCAGGATAATTACTATTTATGGCTCAGAATATCATCTCAGAATATCTCAGACGTGAAATTTCATTCGCGAGGGAAGAATAGTGAGGCACTGCAAAACAATGATGAAAGGGTAGCATCAAAAAATTAAATTTGAAGATCTAATTGGATAAATGAATTTAATTTACCAGACGCACAGTAGTTTTTTTTCAATTTTGAAAAGAGAGTAAAGCGGGAGTTTTATGCTCTGTGTAAAAGAAGCGTACATTCGTTTTTTTTAATTAAAATATACCTAAATACTCCATTCGAAATGATAGGACTAAATGGATTACAGAGTAACGCACCTAGAAGACTGCATCGAAAAAATTTAATTTACCGAGTGCGTTTATAATTAGGGCATTCATTATGTTTACTGTTAGCAGTATAGGACGGGTCGCTGGGCTCAAATTGGTAGTTTACGGTAACTCTGACCGATCGTTGCCAGATTAATTTGTGGTAGGTATTTAAAAATTCTGTGACGTAAAATTTTCGAACTAAGAACTGTTCATAAAAGTTCTCGCGTATCGCTTGTAATGGTACGCGTGTCACTGTTTGTGACCTGCCCCCGTGCACGACTTCTGGGGGACAAGGGAACTAGGTCCAGTTCTGACTGATATTTCTTCTCGTTATATTAGATAAATATCACGTGCAAATGACGAAGAGCTACTTTGTAGTTGATTACAAGCAGGTTAGCCCGTCGTTGCCTAAGATAGATAATTCCTGTAACTTTAGAATCTCGTTTTCCCAAATCCCTCTTATAAGAATAAATATTATGTGTGAAGAAATTTTCTTTCAGAATCGCATTTAACACCAGTTACAAACCTCTGTAAGACTTTTTATTTGTTTTAAAACTAATCTTTTATGTGTTAACTAATAAAATTAAGTTTACATTTTTATCAAATCCTTGCCTCCCATTTCTACATTGCCTTATTATACTCCACCAATGGATAAATTTTCTGTTAATCTGAATAGCCCCTGCATTAAGGCGACAGATTTCCAACAAACAAATCCACATTTGACATATGTAAACTCAGTATAGAAGGTAATCATAATTCATGAGAGACAGGAAGTTTCCAATTTTAGCTGAGTTAGTCAGTCCAATATGATCTATGAGGATGTCATCAGAACAAAGTCATTTGATAAGATATAAGAAGTATTTTTTAGCTCTGTGAATAAAGCTCACGAAAACTACAAAAAAAAAAAACTGTTGCGCTGTAAATGTGCCGAAAATCATGCGTCCATGAATTTTTAATTTGAATGCTTGAAATAGAAAGCTACTAATATTTTACATTCAATCGTTAGATAATGAAATGGTATGAACGGTGTCACTGCCCGAATTAAAAGGCTCACTCTTAATTAAACTGCGTTTTCGATGGCGATAACGTTCCGTTGGCAAGGAGTACTAAGTTGAAATGGGTCGGAAGGCAAACTGGTAGATTATTTGTATGTAGTTACCATTTCATGGAGGTAGGTAAAAAAAATAAATATTTTGCCCTATGTACGTATCATGCGATATATTCAATTAGTGTTTAATCGATTGATTATCTGAACGAATACTCAGACAGTTCAATTAAAATTACTAATGACCAGAAACAGCCTTGTAAGCAAGAGAACATAAATTACACGTTAAAAATTTCGCAATTTTTTAGCTCTCAGACGATAGCTTTCATTGCTGGAACACAAATGCAATAAATTACTCTGGCAATTTTAGACTAAAATAATGTTTTTTAGTCATCCAGACTCTCATAAAACTTTTACACTGGAGTTGGATAACATTCTGTAAGAACCCTTACCTGCAATTTTAGTAAATTCTTTCTACGATACTTACAGATTCGATGACGTCAGTCATAGTTCCAACAGGGAGAAAATATAGATATTATAACATATAATTTAGCTGTACCTGATCACATAAAGAGAGTATTACGAGTCAGATTTGTGGTGTTCGACTCTGCAAAGCTGACATGAATGAGTCGCTTACCAAACGCTTATGTTAAGTCGTATTTACTTCCCCTTCCGTTGAATAGCAGTGTGTAAAGTGATAGTAAGATTTTGTCCTACATTTTATGCAATTGAACATCTGAAGCCAGAATTACCTGAAAAGGTTTAAGGTAAGAAATTAATTTGTTCAATTTATCTACTTGACCTCCTATGCTTAGTGTTAGTGTAGAGACTCACCATAGACTATAGACCAATAGATTGATCATTGAGTTACTTAACCTTGACTGTTGACAGGCCTTACATAAGAAACTGTAGGTACAACTAGGCCTATGAATACGTATATATTATCAATGAATACGTATATATTATCAATGAATTCGTATATATTATCAAAAAATTTGTGTTGCTTGCAAGTTGCAAGCCCATTTATATAGTCAGTAGCCACTAGGGCCACTAGGCGGGCCTACCTACCTGCATAGTGACAAACCAGAAATTTTTTAGAATCAGTTCATTTTTAATTTCCTCATTTACTCAAGATTTTAACAGATTTCTTATGTAGGATAGGGTAAACGCGGTATATTCCGACATCGTAGGTAATTCCGTCACTTCTCTAGTTTTTCCTTTATATTAAGCTTTGTTTTAGTTCCATGCGTTCATTGATGGTTGAAATGGTGACGTCATACATTTGCGTGTCGAAATACTGCAAAACCACTAGAGCTTTTTAATAAATATGGCAACATTTTGTGACGTTTCATCGTTGCTGACGCGTAGTAAAGTGTTTTGAGAGTCATGTGAAGGCAACAGAACTTACATAACGCATACGGTTTTTTTTATAGTTTTTCATTTTTCGATGCGTCCTTAAAGTGTCGGAATATACCGCGTTTACCCTAATTCTGGTATCCAAGATACTTTACTCAGTAAAGTATTGCCACTAAGATAGTTTACTGGTCTACTTATAGGACTCAAAAATGAACTTGAGGAAGAGTCTTAAAAACTCTCTGCTTTGCCACTATGCCTACCTGTATTTTATGAAAATAAAGAAAAGGCCCATTTTTGCAATTTTGCCACATCTTTTTGAAAATCACCTGTGTTGGAATTTTGTTACTCAATTTTTGAAAAACTATATTCACATGCAACCTAACCAATTTTTTAGTGAAAATTAGTAAAAGTGGCATAGGGTAAACGCGGTATATTCCGACACTTTAAGGACGCATCAAGAAATGGAAAAACTATAAAAAAAATGTATGTGTTACGTAAGTTCTGTTGCCTTCACATGACTCTCAAAACACTTCACTACGCGTCAGCAACGATGAAACGTCACAAAATGTTGCCATATTTATTAAAAAGCCTTTAGAATGGAAACCTACCAAATCCCTATATTCCGTCACTTTGTGTGGCAACATCCGACACGTGGTGAGTCGTATTGCGTCAGCGCTTCAAATTTAACTGATACGTATTGCCGACATCCACGTGTTCGAATTCCGTTTGCTGTGTGAGCTGTATTGGGACTGTCTCTTATACACATCTAGATGTGTATAAGAGACAGGTTTGAGACTTTTATATACATCTGTGAATATATTAGGAATCCTTTAAGTATACTTGTATTCGCTGATTTCAAGTGGTAAATAAATTAATAGATGATTAAGTTGAGAAATGGATTTAGACACATGAAAACTAATTCCGTCACAACTTGAATTGGACACACACAGATCGTTCCAAGCCATGTACAAAAATTAAAATTTGCTTAATTAAAAGCTTAATAGTTGTTAATTAAAAGCATAATTAAGTAGTGTTCAATATTCATTAGTGTTCTAATTCAAAGTCGTGTTGTATTCCAATACAGCTCACACAGCAAACGGAATTCGAACACGTGGATGACGGCATCACGTATCAGTAGAATTTGAAGCGCGGACGGATTACGCCTCACCACGTGCCGAATATTGCCACACACAGTGATGGAATATAGGGATTTGGTAGGTTTGCATTCTAAAGGCTTTTACATAAATATGGCAACATTTTGTGACGTTTCATCGTTGCCGAAGCGTACTACGGTGTTTTGAGAGTCACCTAAAGCAAACAGAACTTGAGTAACGCATACGGTTATTTTTTTATAGTTTTTCATTTCTTGATGCGTCCTTAATGTGATGGAATATACCGTGTTTACCCTAAGTAGTGCTCAATATTCAATAGTGTTCTAATTTAAAGCTGTGTCTCGTTCCAATACAGCTCACACAGCGATCGGAATTCGAACACGTGGATGTTGGAATTACGTATTAGTACAATTTGAAGCGCGGTCGGAATACGTCTCACCACGTGCCAAATATAGTCACACACAGTGTCAGAATATAGGGATTTGGTAAGATTGCATTCTAAAGGCTTTTAAATAAATGTGGCAACATTTTGTGACGTTTCATCATTGTGGGTGCGTCGTGCTCATGCGTTGTTTTGAGAGTCACGTAAAGCAAACAGAACTCGAGTAACACATACGTTTTTTTATAGTTTTTCATTTCTCGATGCGTCCTTAATGTGTCGGAATCTACCACGTTTTACCCTAATTGGAGACTTTGACAACTCCTTAGTAAAGAACCTTTAAAACATTATTTGTGCATGTTGCTGAAAATGATAAAAGTGAGCAATTATTAAATTGAGTTACCTAGAAATGTAGTATCAATCAAATCAATAAGTTATTGACTAAGTTCTAGAGTCTGAACTCTAAAGCACCTAATTAATATATTCAAATTTGATCCAGCCATGTAGCTTGCTCAGTTCCTAAATATCAGCTGATATGTATAAGAAAGTCTAGTTTCATACATTTCAATCCTGTTTATATAATACTCTACAATGCTATCTTGCAAGTCATCCTCTCTGCCAATACTCAATAGGGTTATTTATGTTTCTAATTCTACCTGAAGAACAAAGATGGCACTCCTGGCAGGCTCTGGTAATTTAGAGCCTTCACAACCCAAGTGATTGTAATTGGATTAGGCCTACTGTCAAATCATTGCTGAGAAAACAAAGTTGTTCACAAAATTATTTGCCTACCCAATACTCATACTTTGTTCTCATAATTTCATGCATTTAATTTTTTACTTTTAATCAATGATATTATATTGAGAGTAAAAATTTTCTCATGTATATAGATACTTTATCATTTAAACTATACTATTTTATAATAATCATGTATTGTCTTCTACATATGATCAAATTGAAGATTTTTTAGTTTTGATTTTTCTTCATTGTATATCAGTGAAAATATTTGAATCTATATTGAACATTGTTTTCTCTGTGCAGTTCTACTCACCTGCTCCCACACTAGAAGATGTTTCTCTGGGATTGGTTTTCAGGAGTTCTTGGATATCTTGGTAAGTTGAGTGCTAAAGAAGCCAACAGTTGTGTATTGTTTAATTTATATACTGGTAGATTTATTATGCACTAGCTGGTGTAATATCTTTAGATGGGGTAAGACAGGACCGAAATCACTAACAAGCCTGAAGCATCCATACCATGACTAACTAAAAAACCCTAAACCTATCTCAAGATGTAGTTATGCAATGGGCTTCTAAGCTACAACTCAGACGTTTTGCATCTAACATAGTTTTCTGTACAGATTAAAAAAAGTGAGCTGGGGTCATCTTACCCCATTGGGGTAAGATGGGACCAGGCTGGGGTAAGAAAGGATCAACTGGTAATTCTAATGTTACAAGGTTTTTAATTAAAGTACAAATCTGATATTCAATATTATCCATCTAGAAATGCATTATTTGATTAAACAACCACTTGTTACTGTTTTGTGTTGCAGGAAGTCAACTCTAATATCACTTCTTCAAACTTCAATGCACTTCTTCAAATGTAGCCCATGCCCTCTCACAAAGTTATGATCATAATTATTTTTTATGTTTCACACAGTGATTTTTCACCCAGCCAATCTTGCACATAGTTCTGCAGCTCACTAATTGGAATAGACATCCCTATTTTCTATATCCCTTTGATGCAATTTAAAATAGTGTAAATTTCTCTAATTAAAAAAAAAAGCTTTCAAAATATTGAAACTACCTGACAATGTTAGTAGGTATTTTATTTATTTTAAGGACAGATATTGTTTCATAATTTGAATATCTTTTTAAAAATTTTGTTAGTGAAAATGAGAACCTCTGTAATGATTTCATGCATTGAAACAACTCTTGTTAGTATTTTTCTAGATAAGTGTTGAACTTTTTTTTATTTTTATTAGCAATGCTATACAAGATTTTGTTTGATGCTACATGTAGAATTAGTCGCTATTTTCACAATAATTAGTTGAAATATCACATGTATATGTTGAAAGGAATCTGTTTCTCCATGGCTCCTACGCTTGAATAATATAAAATTTTATCAATTAACATTGTCAGGTTAGTTAACTAAAATTTAAAGGGCAAGCATTACAGATAAAGTAAACAAGATTTCAACAGCACTCATTCTATGGCAACATTTTGAATCGCAGTTTGAAACTATGAATATTTTTAATTTAAATTTCTTCTGAATGTGTACAGATTCAAATAATTTTATGCATTTCCGTTTGTGCAGGCTTATGGAAAAAGAGTGGCAAGTTATTATTTTTAGGCCTTGACAATGCTGGTAAAACAACCTTGCTTCACATGCTGAAGGATGACCGCATGGCACAGCATGTGCCGACTCTACATCCAAGTGAGTGTTAATGCAATTAATTTTTATTGACTAACTTCATATATCAATGTAGGTGTATTCATGCTAGATTGTTAGTGTGATCATAGTCTACCTAATGTCTTGGTGTTTATTTTTTGCTGTTGTCTCTTGGTTTCAGGAAGCTATGATTTTGGTATAGGCTCTATTAATTTCTTAGAAGGGTATCCTTTAACAGGCATCTATGGCATGTTTGCAATTATCTCAATCTAGAATATTGAGCAACCTTAGTAAATGCCCTGTGAAATATTTTCAAAAACATATAACCAGTTTATTATTTGATTTTATTGTGTGAAGCTTTGCAATGACATTTAATCATAGGCCATTGCATTTTATTATGCCTAAAAAAAGGTAAAAAATGTTAAATTTGATAAAAAAGGAACATTACTTCTTCAGATGAATAATTTTTTTAGTTGCAATTAAATATTAAAATTATAAACTGTGCACAAAGATATTGATGGTGGCCGTTTTTCAGGTTCATGTGTTATTTCATAGAGATGTTCGCAAGTAAATATTTATTTGGTTGTGACGTTTAAGTAATGTTTGTTTTCAGCGTCTGAGGAGCTCAGCATTGGTCAGATAAAGTTCACCACATTTGACTTGGGTGGGCACGAGCAGGCCCGCCGTGTGTGGCGCGACTACTTCCCTGCTGTGGACGGCGTTGTGTTCCTCATAGATGCTGCTGATAGAAAGAGATTTGACGAGTGCAAGGTTTGTTGTGGCTTGAGTACAATGAATTAGGCTATCATTTTAATTATAGGTACTGCTCACAACTGGTGGAATCGAATAGCAGTTATTGGAATGCTTTTAATTAAACATATCGTGCACATGCAATGAGTGGAGAAATTACTTGACATTCTAAAAAGTTTTCTTGTGCAAGAATAAAGAGTGTATTGCTGGTCACGTAACTTATACTTGGTGCCTTCCTAGAATTTTTATCATTTAATTTGTACTTCTGTTTACATGTGAGATTGTTTAAAGTTTAATTCAAACTCTGTGGTCAAGCAATTGAGTAGCATATTTTTTATGCTGAGCATATTTAATTACATCATTTTCTGAACTGATTGATTTTCCCATTGATTTTCATTCACTGATTTGGGCCTATTCTTCCATTTTCAGGTTGAATTAGACTCGCTGTTGACGGACGAGCAGCTGAGTAACGTGCCTGTGGTGATGCTAGGTAACAAAATTGACAAGGCAGGTGCCGCGTCTGAGGACGAACTGCGTCACTACTTCGGGCTCTTCGGCCAGACCACCGGCAAGAGCAAGATCCCCAGGAGTGAGCTCCCCGGCCGCCCCCTCGAGCTCTTCATGTGTTCCGTGCTCAAGCGACAAGGATATGGTGAAGGCTTTAGGTGGATCGCCAACTACATTGACTGAAGCTGCGCTCGTGTCTTATTAGTTCAGTGTAATGAGGCGAGATTTGACGTGTCAAGATTTGTGCTCTCAACCCATGATAAACTCAGTGTATATGGGGCTTCTTGTGATGTACGCTCACGTTGTGTTCTTTACTCCTTCGAAAATGAATCATTGCCCGGTATTCTTTCACTTTCGTCAAGTTTTGATGGAGGTGTTTGATACTAACTGAATGTCTTCGTGTGGTAGGAGCTCTTCCATGTTATATTTATTTTCCTTGTCAAAGTTTATAAACAATTTCTTAAGTTGCAATGTTGCTTGCGAAGCCAAATTTAAAGGGATTGTTTTCCTGCTAATAAAATTTTGCATTTTATCAACAGATAGCTGATTTTCTGCTTTAAATTACGAATGTAGGGCCGTGATGATATCAGCATTTATTTTACTTGCTGTATAGTTTGTTTACGTTGCCTGCAGCGGTTGAATGAGACGATAGGCAAAGCGTCAGTTGGGAGTTGATACTCAATAACTCTTGGCTAATTCCTTTATCAGATAATAAACATTTATGTGTGTCGCATCTGCAAATAACGCTCGGTAACATTCAAATTGTTATTTTAAAACTGCTAGTATCTGTTTTGCATGGGTTATCTCTTCTTCATAATGAATATTTTTTCATGGCTGTACCTTTATAGCGCAGTTATTTTATGTTTATGGATGCATGGCCTTTCTGTCGGTGGTGCATGCTTCAGTACATCTTTATATTGTAATGCTGCATTTGTTCCAGTATTGGTTACATTGCATTGCCTAGATGCACTGCACTCATCAATTAGGCCTTTTAAGTAGCAGCTATTCAAGTTAGTCTCAAAATTTGTTGTACGGTATCCTGACAACTATTGAATCCTCTAGATTAATTTGATATGATAATATTGATACTTTGTTTATGACGCGTTCAGTCATTGGCCGACAACACCTTCCTATCTTGAAAAATTAGTAAAATCATCCTTTCAGTTGTTATTCATTCTTGCCTGTTGTGACACTCACGGCTCTCCTTCAGACGTCAATGGATTTATCATTCGCATTACCTATAATAGCGAAATTTATATAAAATTAGGATGTTATCTTCAGAGGACTGCCCGAACTTGACAGTTAGTTCATACTACATTTGTCAAATAAGATAACAGTTTGAATTGAATTACCAATTATTAATAAAACGTTCTCAAAGTACATTTGCGCTCATGACCTGAATTGTGTTGCTGATGTTATTGAGTTAGCTCTCACCTGATTGGTTCATACTGTACCAAAGCAAACAAGGCCTTTCTAACACGCGGCGAAGAAAGCCCCCAACTCTAACCTTACTATAATCAGAGTTCAAATAATAATCGTGAGTGATGCATGACTGAGCAACCTTATCGACAAGTGATGTCATTAGTCATGAATAACATTACAGAATGGCGTCGAAGATTTTTAATAATGGTTAGACAAAATGCAGGCAAGCTTGACCAAACAAAATCTCAAAGTTTGCAAATCATGACGGAAACAACCGTGAGATACTCTCTGTATGAAAACTTCAGTTATACATACATCCATGCCTCAAAATTTCTGCTCTGACAGTTAGCTGTCAATGCAAGTAAGAGCTAGTAAACAGCATAATTTTCAGTTTAGCGAAATGTTAGCAGAATAGAGAGCAACAAATGTTTGGTTTGTTTGCGAGAAACGTATGGACTACAAAACGATGGCAACGTTTAGGACTCGCAACAATGCCCGAATTTAGTCTAAACCACTTCATGTACGGTCCTAAAACTTACTGCCGCGTTAGTAATGAATTTAGTCACAAAAGTATTTATTCCAACATATAGAACCTTTAAAAAGTTATTTCTCCCATTACGAAATCCGAATAATTGAATCTGCGAATTCAATTCGCTGGCATTTAATTATGAATAATTGAATTCAGTAAGGTCAGTGTCAATAAATTTTTAATCAGAAGCGCATTCATGTTAGCAAAGAGTGAAAAAAAACTCAATGTGGAAAGTGTAGGTAAACTTTCAAGTTTTTTACAGCTGTAAAAAAAAGAGGAAAATTACTCAGAGAGCCAATAAGATTAGCGGAAAACTGAGCAATTTACGTAACAGGTCAACCTGATTGAATCGTCGCCACGTCATCGTCTCGAAAACCTACTAATTTTATGCCGTAAAAAACACCATTCACTGAAACATTTTGGCATAGGCTGCTTTTTCTTTGTCCTTGGCTGCTTTGATTTTAGCGTTGACGGCGCTGAGTTCCATGACGATTGCTTTGTCATTGGGGACTATTTTACGCGCTTGCTCCAAACTCTCGCGAGCGCTGGAGAAATCCTTACACAGGTGAAGCGCCTGGCCACGCCTGAACAGCGCCTTCGCGTTGCTTGGGTCTAGTGACAGCACCTGAAACAGAATGAAACAAGATGAGTGCAAGCAGAAGAATAGAATGATTTGGCATAATTTTGACTTATGAAACTAATACCACCATTTTCATGGTCCAGATCAGAAGAGTGGAACCCTTGAATGATAGAGAAAAAGACTAAGAGAAAAGTGCGCAACAGGGAATATTCGTCACAAAGCTCACGCCGTTCAATGGCAGAATGAAAGCATATAGCAATAACTATTTATTTCAAAAACTTTAATTATTTGAAGGCTTTAAGGCTTTAATGAAGGGTGTAATGACGAAATTCCACATTGGATGCAAATGCATAGATTGCCAAAGGATAAAAAACACAAAATAGACGTAAAATTCGAACAGAACAACAAATTAATCATGGAATTTTACCTGATCGCAGTCCAGTACAGCAGCATGAGTCTTGCCAGACTTGGTGAAGCACAGCGCTCTGTTGAGCAGACATGACACTCGCAGGCTCTGCAGCTCGAGCTGTTCCTCTTCAGAAGGGAGGGCGCGAGGCTCCGGTCGTGGCTCAGGAGGCTCTTTGCTGAACGGCGGCAAGGACGGCGTCGAACTCAGACCTTCCACACTGGCGTCCAACACAAGTGGGTAGATGAAACAACATCTTAGAAATGACTGCCACACTCCGCCGTAGTCAATAAAATCTAATTAAAGGCGGAAATCAATTGACAAAAGAATGAAACGCATGATTTTCCTGAACATTGAATCTTTAGATACACAAGCATTCTTCATTAAGTGACTTTTATCGAATATTATTTATTAATTACACGGAAGGCAAACCATCTAACTCAATAATAGCATAAAATGGAGCCTAAAGTTTAATAATATCGTAGATTGGTATCATTGAAAACATACTGAAACAAATTCATAAGGATACTCACTGCTCCATGTAGCATAAACATTTCCTGTACTTGAAAATAGCTTCTGGGTAATCCTGGTTCTTGAAGAAGTGATTCCCAGAGCTTTTTATTTTGTTCAACATTTCAAGTAGATCATTCATCTGCACAAAAAGTGACACATTGGAACACTAAATTCAGTATTAGACTAAATGAACTCGCAACCAATCAAACCCCAATTGTACCCTGTTCATGATACAGGTCACCAGCAATTTCAACAGACGAAATGTCTCTAGTGACAAATATTCCAAACAGAAACAATATGAATATGAAAACAAATTTTTATTAGGTCTTAACTATTTTATTGGACAGAGTACCAAAAATAAGCTAAATCAAATAAAAAGCATACCGTAGATGAGAGAGTGAAGGGAGCAACATAGAATACCTATTCAAATTAAGAATGTTGACATTCCGATCAACTGAGCAACGATGCAAATTCAACCAAATGCAAGCACTTTTTTGACACTCAAACTCAGCAGGCACGTAAATACGACACTGTTTGCATTGAGTGAAATAATGCAAATTATACAACTATAACATCATATCAAGCACGAATTTTTACATTCATGCTTGAATTCATTGATTTAGTCAATATCAGCAGCAGATAAGGTTAAAAACTCGGACATCATCCATTCATCAGTGATATTGAAGGTTATACATATTGAAGCAACAACAATATCATATAAATCATGCAAACAATAAATTTTGGAAATTAATCCAACTCATGAGCAGATCTTTGCTAATGGTAAGCTTATAATTTGCCAACATCACATCAAATTCTGGAAATTCTGGTCAGAAAATTATTAGTAACAAGAATTGCGTACTGACGGGGGCTGTGTAGAGGTCGAGAAGCGAGGTTGGCAGGTCCTCAGGATACTGGGGGTAAATATCCTCCGTGCCATCCTCCTCAACAATGCCAGGCGCGGCATCAGGTGGCAATTCACCGCAATCAGCGATCTCCACGCGCTGTCTCAATGTCAATAAGATTAATTACATTACAATTTTGTAATTTAATTATTCATGTACAGAATAAGCAAATAATGAAGCATAAATTCAAGGCCCATTCACAGCTTAGATGTAGATTTATGTTTCAGTAAATTCCGTTTTACACTTTAACCATAGTATGACGCATCTGCTTAGGAAAAATGCAAATTTTTAGTTGCATTAGCAGATCACCTAGACATGCCAACACTGAGACCAAAATTAAAATTTATACCTAGAAAGCAAATACTTGAGGTTAGAGCAAATTGCATTACTTGAAAAATATAACAATTATAATTCTACCACAAGGCAAGTTTGAGAGATATTTACTAAATATGGCAAGATAGAGCTGGGTCTCATTATCAATGTAAACAGAACGTTTAACAAGTTTCAATGTTCATTAGAGACACAACAGGAATGCTTATTTTTATGGCACTAAACAAAATTAACAAGTTTACATTATCCAAAGACAAGGCCGACGCACCTGTAGCGGCTTCTCATCCATAACCTCAGTTTTTTCAATGACGCCCACAACTCCAATGCCGTGCAGGACTTGACCAAATGCCACGTGCTTGTTGTCGAGGTGGTGTGTGTCTGTGCATGTGATGAAGAACTGACTACCGTTGGTTCCAGGGCCGGCGTTGGCCATGGAAAGTATGCCACGGCCGCTGTGCTTCATGCCAAAACCCTCGTCTTCAAATTTTTCGCCATAGATGCTCTCACCACCAGTGCCATCATGGTTGGTAAAGTCACCACCCTGAACCATGAAGTTGCTGATCACTGCACACACAGAGCATATTATTTGTTTAGCTTTAGTTAGTTTTCAAGTGGAGAAAGCAACAATGTATTGATATTGAACAGCATACATATTTAAAATTTGAATGAAATTACGTGTTTATGTAACGATAGGCAGAAATTGTTACCCGGAGGGAGTTCATAAGCTCAAACAATTATTTTTACTATGTTTTGTAGCAAGTACAAATTGGTAACATTTTACTTGAAATTCTAAAAAAATTCCATTGAGCTGATCATACAGGTACATGGTACATATAGGTTATGCCACAGCACCTCTGTGAAAAGTGCATCCTTTATAATGAAGAGGATGGCCCATCTTGCCAGTGCCTTTTTCTCCAGTGCACAGAGCTCTGAAGTTTTCAGCAGTCTTGGGAAACTGTACACTATCCAACTCCAAAACTATGCGCCCAACTGCTCAAGATAGAAAAGATATTTTGTCATATCAAACATAAATGTAGGTATGTAGCAAGTCACAAGTATGAAAACTTCTTAATCATAAAATTATTTAAAAACCAATGCAGATTGATAGTGAATTAAGACATTACTCACCCTTCTCTCCTCCAATAGTGATGTCAAGAAATACTCTGGGCTTGATAATCTCTGCCATTTTGATACAGCAAACTAAGTTGAACAATTGTCTCTAGAAATGAAAGACAATCATAAATTTCATTATACACAATATCCTCAATTCATAGCAGTTTTCAAATAAATTCAAATAAATTAATTTAATTATCAAATTTCATTGGTTTTAACAAGGGATTCTAATGTGTTAATAGGTGCATGTATATGGGGTGAGCTGTAGTAGATAGTGGTTAAGGCTAAAAGTTGCCACCACTAATTTTATTCGCAAGTAGGCTAATACACAAGACAAGTAGTATCTGTCAGTAATTTCTTATCTCTAGCAACCCATGTGTGTGCCTTTAGAGTGTAAAAAACTGTTTAGGTGACAAGTTTAGTCCTACATTATTATTTTTAATACCAGCCATTCATGATTCATTGTTGAGCACCAATATTGGAAATATCTTAGTTTTTAATTTAATTATGTTGTTTCAAAATCATATAATTTCAGTTAATCTGCAACCTTGTGGCTCCCAAGTAATGTATTTTGGTTTGATCAGAAATATTAACACTCAAAAATACACGATTAGAAGAAAATGTGTATTTAGTTCTGGAATTCAGAAACAGATTGCAGCCAAATCTGTTACAACTAAAATGATTTTTTTTAATGTAATGTAAATTGATTAGTATTGCAAAATTACTAATAAAATTTTTCAATAATGTAGCTGCCAATTATTCAGACTGAAATATGGCCTTTTGACTTTTGTATCAAGATATTGGGATCTTTTCAAGCTCTCTTGTAAGCCACCTCTACCTTAAATCAATATCCATATTAGACCACAAACTATTGATGTATTATTCTACATGTGGAATTGTATCTGCAGCCCATTTCCTGGTTTCCATACATATCTGTTACCTGTGGCAATCTTAAATTTGCTGATTTCCATCTGCCTTGATAGTTGATCATAATGACATCTATGGGGCATCGAGTTTAGCATCCTCAACCTGTGTTTTGCTATTCACAACAGTCTAACCAATAATGCCACAAGTTATTAGTGGCACATAAGATTAATTTTTTTGCTGACATAGCTTGCTCTAAAATAACATGATTTCAGTAAATTGGAAATCTTGCAGCAGCAAGGTCCTGCTTCCAAGCAATAGGCAGGTCCAGCCTCCACCTCTTCAGTTGGGTTTGAGCTGGCAAACATGATGGCACATCCTCAGTTTATGGGATATTGTAAATATTTTTGACTGTGAATCTTATTTATTCTAATGTCTTGAGATACACAGTTCCAATGTCTTTAGCACTGACAGAGTGAGCCATGAAGCTTGAAGTTGAAATATGAACAAAGGAGTGAAGCATCTTTGAGTTGAAGTCCTACGGGTAGCTGTGCAACCTACAAAAGTAGGTTTTTATCAGTCATTTTTTGCCTTTTGCAAGCTATAAAAGTAAGATATTTTATTTTTCAATTCATTATTTTAAAATTTATTTTGTGGCTTGTGATTTGTGTATGTGGTATTGTATTGTTCTGCCGACTCCAAGGAAATGGTGACTTGCTCAGGCTCACTACTTCAACAGTTGACACCTTTAAAGTTATACTTCATTCTAGATAGAAAATCTTAATTAATACTTAAATTTTAAATTATTCATTTGAATTTTACTTTACATTTAAGAATTAACATTTTAAAGGAATTTTAGGTTTCTTCTTTAATCAAAAATTAAATTATTCAAATTCCTAACTTTGGTTGGTCAGAAGTCTTGTCTCCTGTCACTACTTCTCCCCTCTCTAAAGGAAGGGGGCCAAAACTGGATACCTACCCTCTGACAAGACCGTTAAGTATGGGCGTACAGCCAATCCTAGAATTGTACTAGCCTATGGTCAGTATGGTGGCGGCGGTGGCCAAGCAAGAGACTTTATATCAGAGATAAAACTCTTGCTCAAGTTTGTTTTTGAACCATTTATGATGTAGACCATTAAAGTATCATGTTTACCAGCAATATTATACATGAGATTTTGTTCTAAATCTTGAGTAGCTACTAGCTTAAAATAATAACATTTTCCTACTCATGAATGGAATCTTGGAGCTCCAAAATCACCAATTTTTTCTATATTTGGAATCATGCAGCTTAATTGTGCAGTTTTATTACTGATTAAATAACAGATAGGTAATTCGTCTAGCAGGAAATGCCAGGAAACTTATGGAAAAGAAAATGGCAGAAAAGCTTTAGAATAGTCACAGTACTACTGACTCTACTCACTACTGTACTACTGCAGGAGTGCAGGTCAGGCACTCAGTTGTGAGTTGGCCACCGGCCCACCACCCACCAGCCTACCAGCCTACCAGGTAGTAGAAACAGTATAAACTGCAAAACTTATATGCATTCTTTCTGTTCTGATTGTAGGTATTGTAACATTGAGATATTAAAAAAAGAATGAAGTATTAAATAGTTACAAATTCTTTCAAGACATTAGCCTATCTAATTTTTTTCTAGTGCACTCAAGTTCTCAACACTATAGTATAGGTCTATACCTATGCAATGCCACTATAGTATTTAATTTTTTAAATGTATTCTATAATTCTATTGTCTACTGTACTGTGAGTCTCAGAGACTCAGTGAGAGTGCCGCAGTGTGGCACAGGCCACAGGCCACAGCCACAGCTGCACTGGTGTAGTATAACTATAAGCATAAAGCGTGTAGTGTACTAGGTAGCCCTACACAATTCTATTCTAGCAGTCCAAGGGCGACTGTTTGCGTGTCAAGTGAACTGGTACTTGGTAGTGGTAATCATTAAATAAAAAAATGCAACCCATCGGCATCGTTTCGTTACTTAATAATAGACGTTTATGATTTAGTCATTAACATTTTGGAGGGTGTTTGCTACTTTGCTTTGCCGATCTACCAAAATTAAAGCTATTCATTTCAAATTCACTAAGTTTTTTCTTCAGTAGGTATAACTATTTCATTCGAATAATTTATAACAATAGTCTCAACTTCTCAAGTCATCTATTTAATTGATTCTTGCAAAAACTTGAGCACACTGCACACGTCCAGGTAGATATTAATGTCATGTGATCTTTTGTGATGCGTTATTGAAACTAGGTAGTATATCACCGCCAACCGCCGCACCCGGCACCGCGATCATAGCGTAGGCATCTGTTTAAATAGTATGGACTATGGAAGTTTCTAGGTTACTGGGAAAACGCTCACGGAAGCCAACCATCCAAAGGAATGGATAGAGAAAAAAGTGGAAGCGATGCTTTTAATTAACTTAGAATGTATACATATAAGAATTAAGTAGACTTTTAGGGAAATATAATTTCATCTTAGAAAAATTGTGTATATATATATATATTAGTTTTGGATGGCAGAATTAGTTGATTTATACGCGTGCGATTAACGACCAGAGAATTCGTTGATTTAAATTATCAAAGAGTCGGACAATTCTTCAGATGACGTTGGTAGATCGAAAGGCATTTATCGGGAAGTAGTTTGTTTATTAACGACGTTTCGAATGTAACGAACATTCATTTTCAAGTTACAAAGAGCATTAAATATTGACATTTTGGTGGAAATAAGTACATGATATACGTAAATAGGATACTACAGTAAAATTTTGAATCAGAAAATCACTCTGAAAATTATTTCAAAGTTCAGGCAAATCAGGTAGTTAAGAATGAGATAGCAGGCGTCCAATCCGTAGAGACGATGAGGCTAGCCATCTTCGGTCGATTGATGTCAGGCCACTGCTTGATGACAATGCTGGTGGGTTCCTTCAGCACAAAGCGAGTGACGGTCTGGTTGAGATTTTCGCGTGTGATTCACTTGCCC